TGGCGTTGACTTCGGGTACGGACACCCTCCGTTTCCTCCTTAGGTAAAATCGGCATTATTTTATCCCACTTCTGACACCAATTGTTACGAGCTTGAGGTTCGTGACAATAAAAATTGCCGATAAAATTACCTAAATTAACACTTTAATTTGCTTTACACAAATTAAAACTTAAAACACTAATAATCAAACACACTAATTCACTTTATTTCGCTCCGAAGCTTCGCTTGTCTCGCCAAATCAACACTACTTCGATCGCATCTTGCAGCGCCTATTTATATAAATTAGCAAAGAAGCATCCGGAATATTCAAGTAAATGCGCGCAAAGGGACGAGTGTGCGAGTGTAGATTTTCTAGAAACTTAGTTCTTCGGATGGCGCTGTCGGTTGAGAGATTTGTGATGTCATTTTCTGCAAAGCTCCCCTCGCTCTCGTTCCTGACACTAGATGGCGCTAGTTGACTTATTCACGCAACAATACGTTGCGAGACTCTTACAGTTTATCTTAATTTGTTTGTTTCCGTGATAACGAAGCCGGATTTATATAATTATTGTTGTGACCGTTTTAAGTATTGTTTGTGACTGATATACGGTTGCGGGCGGCCGGTATTTTGGAAGCCTAAATCCGTGTTGAATGTGTCCGCCATTTTGAATTAATATTGAATATTTGGATCTCGTCTAGACCGCCTCGAATTTAGTTGTCTGTTTCGAACGTGTTACGTGACAAGAGGCCTACTTGGAGTTTGGAGTGATTAAAAGAACTTTTATGCCGTTAATTGCATCGACGAGTTAGTAGTTTTGTGCTAAGTGAACCTGGGACTTTGAACTCTGACCAACCATCCTTAAGTTGTGCAGCGTGTCACTTGTTTTAATGTCGATTAACGTTCATTGGTTTGAATTTGAAGTTAATTAAAATAGACAATAAAGTTGATAAACTAATATAGTGAAAATCGAAGTGGAAGTTTTCCATTAATGAACGCCACCCTGCGCGGATCCCACATTTGGAGAGAGGCAGCGCCTTGGGATCTGCAGCCCAAGATCAGCGGGGCTGTCAGGTTACACATTGTACACATTACTGCACACAGTGGCGAAGCTAGGGCTCCAAACTGGGGCAAGCCCAAGATATGCTTTTGTTTTTTTAGCAGTTTTAAAAATACATCTATCTTGATCTGTCTCCACTCTTCAGTTTTATAATCAGTTCTGTCGAGGACGTGTTTAACAAAGTAAACCAAAGGCATACTACTGCTAGATAGATTGTATGACATATCCGCAATTGCATACCTTCGGTGGCTTTGAAAAAAGCCGTTTGGGTTTGCTTGAGCGAAAAAAAAAGATGTTTACATACAATACAATACATGAACAAAAGAAAAGCATGAACAAAGTACAAACTACAAAATTAAAAAAAAAACGAATTATTTATATTCTAAATCGAATCGTCTCTCTTTCTTAAGGAAAGATTTAATTACGTCCGCGTAAAATGTGTGTGAACGTTTTAATTGTACCAATAACTGTTTTTCAATCGCCATAGTTATTGATAAGTCTGAAAGACGCTCTTGACCTTGTGTATTTCTCAAATAAGTATGGATGCGCTTCAGAGATGAGAAAGCACGTTCCGCGGAGAACTTGTGGCTGGAATAGTTACGACAAGATAAGCTAACTTTAAAAGTTGGGGAAAGGCTTCAAGACTATTTTCGTTTATAAAGTCAATGAGTTCGAAAACATTGCGGTCTTTTAATTCAGGGGTGGAATACAATGAAATCAATTGGTTTTTCAATGTTTGTTTATCAAAATGGTTTATGTAATTTTCAAATAATGAATCTTATGCCTCTAAAGGAAAATCTGAACGATATTTTTCGAATAGTTTGTTGTTGAACAATTGGAAAAATTTTAATTTGAAAATTTCAGAATATCGGCCATTAATTTCTGAAGATATGTTATCAATTATTTCAACAAAAAGTCGTTTATATTCTGTCTGAGCACAGCGCACATTGCATCTCAAACGAGGAGCAGAGTTATTTTGTAATGTGTTTTCATAAATGTGGTCAAAATCTGACTGAAATTCAGTACGTAACCTGTAATGTGATTTTTGTAGAATATTGTACAAGCAGTCGGTTTTTTTCAAATACCCGTTGGAAAATTGAAAGAAAAAAATTGAAATTAAATGAACACAATGTGTTTTCAAAATTCTCGGCGGCCAAGATCGTATCGCCGTTCTAGTTCTGCGGATTGTCGCACATATCCGAAAACAAATTAATTAGATTATCTTTTTGTTCGAATACTGTATTCACAATTCGTGACGTACACGTCCAACGAGTTGCGGGAGCATTAGGCAATTTATTGCTGCAGTGTGCATCATAAAAAGACGACCGTTTTGTGCTGTTATTAAAAAAAATTAAATAAAGCCTGAAGGGCTGAAAAAAAGTGCTGACTTCCCCAATCCTGTTACAAGACTTGATAAAATTAATGGCTAAATGTGTGTATTACACCAAATATACATGGCTTGGGGACAAATATCTTTAACTTTTTGTTGCACTCCATTTCTGGCACCGGACACGACACTTGCGCCGTCATAGCGCGCTTTGCGCAACTAGTTTTGTGGTGCAGTCATGTTTGTTTAATAATTCCAATATGATATTACAAAGTGTGTCTGCTGTACGAATTTCAGACACATCTACATACCCCAAAAAACGGTCATGAATATCGTTTCCATAATAATATCGGAGAATCAGACACAATTGCTATCTGTGACTAACATCGGGAGTTTCGTCAATAATGATTGAAACGAATTTTGACAATTTTACTTCGTACTCGATGTGAATTTTCATTACATCAGCGACAGAATGATTAATGTCATTTTGGATTGTACTAGATAAATAACTCGGCCGTTTGTCGCTTTGTTGATATTGTATATGTTTTTCTAACACGAGATCGTACTTCGAAAGAAGCGATACAAGTTCTAAAAAATTGCCTCTATTTAATGAAGTTTTCGACTCATCGTGACCTCTGAAAAGACGAAGGACGACCACGTCACGAAGGACAATATCGATTAATCTAAACTACGGTTGTGATCAACACGCATGTTGTGTTTTATAATTTCCTCTGATAACTGGCGCGACAAAGATGTTTCAATCCGATTTTTTCCAAAATTACTAAATGAAATTACCGCATTCATGTGTTTTTGAGAATTCATATGCCTTTTAATGGCTCCAGATAAGTTATTTAAATCGTCATATCCAGTAGTATTCCAAGCCGTTTTGTCGTTGGAAAAGAATATACAACACCAACAGTACAATTTATTGGTATGTGAGCAGCCAACAATCCAATGAGTTTTGTAAACAGATCTATTAAATTGCCGTTTATGGGTTTTACTCGTCTGAGAAATAAACAGGTCAGGCGTTGGTTTCGGCAAGAATATGAGCTGTTTTTTCTCAACAAAGTTTAAAAATTTTATCTTTTCCTCGCCGATTAGCACTTTAACACACTTCAATTCATCAACAGGGAACACTCTTTCCCTCCATTTTCACTAAAAATCTTTAAAAAAGCATAAATTTTAAACTCGCAATACATTCGCTCAAGCTTAACACACAATACACAAAGTAGAAGTACTTTTTGACACAATGTAAATACTAAACATTGAAATGTAACACGAACTTGCTAACATATCGTCGGCTCGTCGGCGTCGGCCGCGCGCCTCCCCTCTCGACTAATATCCCCAAAATACGTAAAAATGTCCCGCTTTGACAAACAAAAGCGTGACAATCACGCAAACCCTGTCACCCGTGCCATCGTAATGACACCCCGCGTACCAGGTTTGCATAGCTTGTCTAGTTACGTGATTATTCTGAAAAGCTACACTTTTGAATTTAAAGTTACAAAGTGACGATTTTTAATTAATCTACAATAAATTATCAAATAACATAAGATATTTCCAATTAGTATTTATTTGCTGTTTAGGATTCACTTTTGATCATTAAAAGACTCAAACAACTATGTGTTTTATTTATAAAACTATATTAAAGGGTTCCAGATTGATTTTTAATAATGGCGTAAGTATAATACTAACATATACAATAAGTGTAATACTACTGCCACTGAGAATTTTGTCGGAAAAACCCAATAAATGATTCTTGACCCGACTCGGGTTTCGAACTTGGGACCACATGATCAGCAATTGCGTTTACTGCCATTAGACCAAGAAGGCAGTCAAAAGCGTTAGAACTATAATAATTTTAAAGGCGTCCCGCTCTGAGCAAAAAATTAATGGTCACTAAAAAGCCGGGCTTTTTAGCTCCATACTAATTGCTATTTATACAATCGTAGTTATATTTCATTATAGAACATTTTGCCACAAGTTAGAAAGGGAGCGATCGCCTTCTCGAAAGCCCGGTAAAAAGCCCACGCGTGCGAGGGAGAAAACCAATCGCTCAATTCAACTCTCCTTATATGTATGATAGCAGTATTCGTAAGGCTACGAGGTCGCACAGAGTGCGCGGGAAATTTGAAATAGTTTGAAACAGTTTACGAGTTATTTTATTACTTAATATAATTGATTGATTCATCTTAATGAGGCAAGCCGGGCTTTTGGGCTTGTATAGAAGCTTCGCCACTGACTGCACACCACTTACATGCACCTCACTTATCACCTGACAGGTACCCTGTTGTCAACCCTATCTCCGCCAATCGGTAAGTGTTGCTAGCTTCTTTGTTAGCCGTTATAATTTAATTATCCATAAGCCATTGGTTGCTCACTCATGGGCCCTGGATTCGTCGATCTTTGTTGGGGCAACTATGGGCGTGTACAATTAGATACCTTGATAGATGAAGGAAGAGAAAAGGTACATAGGTTAGGGAAAGAATGATGAAAGAGGGCAGAATATTCAGAGAATAGGGTGTGAAAGGATAAAAATAAGACAGTTATCAGAGGTAAAAAAAATCAGATAAAATAGTAATGGGTCACATTCAATGAGGAAGATAGTATTAGTCCCAGTGGTGGGAAGTAGTTACCATAGGGTTTGTCGAGCCTGCCGCCTGTGGACACCGATTCCATGACCTCGCGGTTACTTAAACCGGTGTACGGCATCAAGCCCAACGAGAACACCTCCCACAGCAGTACCCCGAACGACCTGCACCAACCAATCAAACCAAATCTCATTATTCTACAAAAAATGGCGTCCAGATTTATTAGAAATTCATTATAAAAAACTAATTGAATGATGAACTAACTGAATGAATGTTAAAAACTTTGTTTTAAACATTCTTTAACTTCTATGGTCACAAGCTCACTATCTACTAAAGTGAAGCCGATCGTAGCTCAGCTAAAATTAAAGATACAGCAAATAGTAGGTATTCGTAAGTAATTTAAAGGGCTGCAGGGCTGACAGTAGTGATGAGTTGTTTTGTATCATTGGGTCTCTAAATTTTTACAAAATCAGTTAAATTTGAATATACTCAGAGAGCGCCCTTTTCACTTGTAATAATTTAAAACACGCGCTCGTTTTTTATCAACGATTCAAGAAATATTCGATCCGAATATGATCACTAAAAGAGATAATTAAATTCTAGCAAAGCTTAGCTAAGCTAGGGCTACTGCAAAATAAATCTAAGTTTTATCAGCATAATTACTGTTATGTTAGGTACTAGCACTTTTTAATTTTTCTATAATAAGATAATTTTGTTTTGTATATGTAATTATACGGTAAGATAGTTCAGTAATAAAACTTACCAAACGTCGGTCTTGATGGAGAATACTCCATCTATGTAAGCTTCGGGCGGCATCCATTTTATGGGCAACATTGCTTTCCCGCCCTTTTTGTAGTACTCTGCGCGGTACACGTCACGCGCCATGCCGAAGTCCGCTATCTTCACGACCCGCCCCGGCCCGCGCGAAGTTAGCAGGCAATTGCGAGCTGCTATATCCCTGGTAGGAAAACAATTTGTTAATGATATCTTTTGGTTTAAGCCAAGAGGTTAACAGTACCTATTAACTAAAGTCAAAGAATGTGTACTAGACGGGCTCTGCGTCCATAATAAATTTGGCACTAAGTTACGTTCTGTTAAAAATGAGAATGATGAAATATGTTTTCGACAATCTTACACTGTTTTTCTTTTCTCATTATTATACCTGTTCAGTGTTAATGTGATTTGAGGTGAAATAATACTAGTTTTTACGGATTTTATCGCGTATATTTAACTTTTTAAACAACCGACGTTTCAAGCGCTTTACAGCACCCATGGTCAAGTATATTTCGCGTCGCGTATATTTAAGTTTAAAAAGTTAAATATACCCGATATAAAATCCGTAAAAACTAGTGTTAATTCAATGTGTAGTGTTCGCGTAAATATAAGAAATCATTATGTGATTTGAGGTGTATTTCAAATAAGTAGGTATGTAACTTTGTTTCTTATTTGCCTTAAGTAATTGTCGTAAATAAAAATACAACTGTGTGGCATATTTACTGTGTCAGCCTCTAGCGCTCGCACGATCCAGTTGTGACACAGGTTTTGTTCTAAATTGGCAGTCTAGTAGTGTATATAGAAGATATTTTGTTCATGTTGGAGCCACGCTGTAGCACGATTGGTTCAGCTCGACTGAGGAGGACCACACTTTTAGAGAACGTAATAATATTGCTGCTAATAGCAATGGAGCATTCGTTTTTAGACCTCTGACTGCCTCGTTGGTCTAGTGGTTGTAGTAGTGCGACTGATGATCATGAGGTCCTGGGTTCGAATCCCGGGTCAAGCCAAAAATAAGTTACTGAGTTTTTCTGTCAAGAAATTCTCAGTAGCTGCCCGGAGTCAGGAAGTTGGCGGTGTCACCCCCGTGCCTCCGGAAAGCACGTAAAGCCGTTGGTCGGTACCAAGCACAAAGTCAAAAGTACAGACTGCGTCATAATTTGGCACTAAGTTACGTTCTGTTAAAAATGAAAATGGCGTCTGTTCTCTCTCCGGTCGTGTCGGTTAACCGTCCCATCGGATTATGAGAGTGAGGGAATAGAGAGTGCACTTGCGCTAGCGCATACACTTGGGGACTATAATCCTGTCCTGCGCCGGCTAGCCTTCGTTGAGGCAGGGCGCCGTGACCGAAATTCGGTCTGGAGGACATTATCTATACTCGATTACGAATCAAAATGCTTTGTCACCCGTGACAACGCATCTGCATTTGGCATCTGCAAATAATGAGAAAATTAGAGATTGGATAAGTAGAAGTATCGTTGAAGGAGACAGAAAGAGCTTAAGACAATAGATGGAACGAAGTATGCCTGTGACTTTATGACAAATCTATGGCACCTGTATATCAAACTAAGAGACGGGTCAATAATTAAACACAGGTCCTTGAAACTAGTGCGGAAGGGAATTACGCAGTTTTTGTAGCGAATGGGGGGTAGTTCAGGTATATTAAGTTGTGACACTAATCGACGACTACCAATGACGATAGCCTGACATTTACTGGGATTTGCCATTATACCAAAGCACTGTGACCAATCTGAAATGATTTGTAAGTCACAATTAATAGGTATCAATTTCAGCCGAAGACACTTGTAAGTATAACCGGATCTCGTCAGCATAGAGGTGGCAAGATCATTGAAGGGTATTTGGAGGATTGATAAAGACCGAAAACAAGAGAGGAGAAAGAATGTCGCCTTGCGGTACACCTAGAGACAGATCGCACCAGTCAGATAAATCCTGACCAGACAGAACAGAATGCTGGCGACCGCGAAGATAAGAGGAAAATCAGTCCAGAGCTGACGAGTAGAAATTTACACTTGAAAGTAATCCAAGGAATAAGCCGTCATCGACGCTATTGTATGCGTTTGAAAAGTCAATAAGGAAAAGCTTGGATATATTTTGTGAAAACGAAAACTTGATATCTTATCAATCTTTAATCTAAATGACGAGGTAATAAATGACATTAATAGATACCATACCACCCAGGCAAAGCCGGGACGGATCGATAGTATTTATTAAAATTCCTTTAATACTATGTAGTATTCGCTATAATATTGTAAACAACAAATAAAAGAATGTACCTATGAATGAACCGCTGCACTTCCAAATATCTGGAACCCTTGCAGACGTCCAGCGAGCAGAGCAGCAGGTCCTTCATGGTGATCGCACTCACGCGCTCGGCCTTCGGCCGGCTCTCCCGCAGGAAATTCTTCAGGTCGCCACCGGCGAGCAGTTCCAGGACAATGAATCTGGTGATGTGTTATTATTATTATTTCAAGTATAGAAGCATTATCTTGTATTAGTAGAACGTGTTATACATACACAGTGCACATACGCATATACGCACACACTATTAAGCGCGTTCACGAAATAGGGTTTTTAAAAAAAGTAATTGTTTTATACACTTAAATTTTACTAGAAATGGTTTTAAATTAAATATATAATACACCTTATACAAGTGGTAAAATTAAAAAATTTGTAGGTACTACCGATTTCAATATAAATAAAATGAGAACATCATCAATGTAGTCGATGTCAATCAAATACGCATTATTAAGTATAACTCAAAAAAACTACTGGTCAGATAATGATCAAATTCATATGGAACCACACGAGAAACACCAGCTTTCAAATAAAAAAAAGACATTCAGTGAATTGAGTACCTCCTCTTTTTTGAGGTCCGTTAAAAATTACTGCTGAACAAAAGCTTTCCTATAAATTGAATCTAAAGGGAAAGGGATACTTGCCGTTATTGCCATGCTTGCCAGGCGGGTTGGCAGCCGCAGTTAGAAAAATGCCGACCATGTACATTTCACTCTGTCGCCTGGTACGATATCCATGGGATAAAATGTGCTAGCAGGTTGTCCTACACCGCCACTATACTGCGAAATATTTTCCACTATCCCGACGTTGTATTTATTTAAAATAAACTTTTATTTCTAATTTCCTCACTCCACTTCATCAACAGCGAAGTGAGGTCTCATGGGTCTAGGCCTAAGTTTAAATCCGTTGCTGCATTTAATTCAAATGTCCTTTATTTTACGATCACTTGATCATTTTAGATACTCCAAAGCAAACTATCTTAGAGATACTTCAGCATCACTTCAGCCTTTTACAAGGTCCACTGCTGAACATAGGCCTCCCACAACTTTTGCTACATGGCAAGGTCCTGGGCCACTTACATGCTTCGACTGTTTGCATTTCTTACCATGTCACTCCATCTAATGGGGGCTAGCCCAGAGATTAGAGATAACTGACAGAAAATTACTTAGTTGTTAGTAGTACTACGTTAGCACCTCACGAATAGCTAAATTTTGTGTTCAAAATTTTAAACATGGCTAAGAGCTGGAAGACAATGCAATATGAAGATCACTTTCTTAGCTGTCTGTTTGTTTGTTTGTATGTTCGATACAAATTTTGCAATCACTTATAAATTGACTATTCGACGACTTGAAACTTCAAACATAGTTTCGTTTGGAAATGCGGTGATAATGGTCACCATTTTTATTATTTTTTTATTTTGCCTTTCACTGATCTTAATTGCATAAATACATAGACAGTGCTTGACTACTACCACCTGGTAGTAAATGGTTATGATAGAAACAAACAAACAAACAATACGCCACAAACACTATTAGGCACTTAAAATTTAATATTTGTAGACATATCAATTAAAATACTATAACCAAATTAAAAAAAAGAAAAGAAAGCAATAAATTTGACGGATTTAAAAGTATGTATACCTATAGATTACAGTAAAAATAAATAAATAAGAAACGTTCCTCATATTGTGTGTGGTGCGTTAGTCAAAGGGCAGTTTTCCATTTACCGGTACAAAACAAAAATGCATAAAATGTATGAAATATTATATGTGTATCGCATGTGTTTCCACTTACCGGCCCCAACCGGGCCAGCGCCATGGCGCTTTGGCGCTATCACAGTATTAATATCTAGTGGCAATTAGTTGCTAGCCACAGAACACTATTACTCCTATCGGAGGTTCTAGCAGCAGCGCTGTTGGGAGAGGACGTGTGACGCAAATTTGATCTCGTAGCGCGCTATTCATCGCGCGCGACCTAATTTAATGTTAGACGTTGTTTAGTTAGTGTATACTGTATATTTATAAATGATCAAAGGACACAGTTGTGATAAAAGAAGCCTAACTAATGTTTTTAAATATAAATAAAATATAGATACAAAAAACTGATTTTTATAAATACAATAAATAAACTTTTAAATACACCTTTATTTGATTTATAATTTATATTAAGCTTAAAATAATGTTTACATCAATTATAATAAAAAATAATTAATTTTATTTCGATTCTAAAAATAAAATTAATTCTATTTTAAATAGTACATACTTAAAAATATTTTTAGGATTATAGAAATTAGTAAGCATGAAAAGTATGAAAACGCGTGCATTGGTTTTTCTTTACCGTTTTATTTTATTTTAGTCTAAAATGCGACTTATTACGAAATAATTTTCTTATATAGCACGCGATCTATCCAATGAACGACATGTAATGTAACGTGCTAAGAGATATAACGTGCTGTAAAACTTAACGCGCTTACCAGCCTCCTACACACTTTCTTATAAATAGCGCGCTATAACATAGCGTATTTAATAGCGCGCTAGAAATTTATAGTTTGTAGCGTGCTATTGATTTATAGTAGTTTTGAACAACTTTAGCCAATACGTTATACCATAGATTACTGTACGTTATACTATTATATGTATTCTGTGACAGGTGACAACAAGCGTCCCGCTCGGTGCCGGCCCGCAAAACTACATAATGGGTATGTTCCGAAACGTTTTCAGTATATTGGGTGCGTCAGAAAAAAGCGCTAGCAAGCGCTTACAAGCGCTGAAATACTTTTCGGCCAGACACGATTGCTACTTCAGTAGCGCTGACACAATCCGCCATTTTGCTATTTAATTTTTAATAGATTTATAATAGTTGCAAATAGAATAATATATTGACAGTAAACATACATGTATTAAAAATTCATGATCAGAAGTTTTTACTATGAACACTTTACAAACATATATTTAAATTAGGTAGTTCCCCGGTTACTACTCTTCCTGAAGAAAATACTACTTACATTTGACAGCGCTACCGCACGATCGCCATTCTCAAGCCTTGCTAGCGCTTTTTTCTGCCAAACGCACCCATTGTATGACGGCGGCACGCGCCGTCATATTGTGTCGGATATCCGGCCATAACAAAACAATTTTTAATTGTGTGTGTGCTGAATGAAGTATGCCAGAATTTTTTTTATTAAATACAAAAAAATTATAGAATAATTGCTGGTATCTCCATTAGGAGGATATAATGATTTTTTGAGCACAAAATGATAAAATAATCGCCAACACTTTTCCAATACGGCTCAAATGTATGACGTCATATACTGACTTATGTTTTGAAACGAATCACCATTATAGCGTCGATTCATGACGCTATACTGGTGATTCGTTCGGTTGGTGCACACACGCGCGGGCCGAAGTTAAAGGGAAGCGTTGAGAATCAGACTCGAAATTGACTTGTGAAATGATAAAATGTCTCCTCGTTCATGCATAAAGTGACAATTTATTTTTTTCCTCAGAGCGGGACACCTTTAAAATTATTATAGTTTTAACACTTTTGACAGCCTTCTTGGTCTAACGGTTGTAAACGCAATTGCTGATCATGTGTTCCCGGGTTCGAAACCCGAGTCGGGCCAAGAATCATTTATTGGGTTTTTCTGTCACAAAATTCTCAGTAGCAGTCCGGAATATTGATTTCGAATTTATTGAAGTTGACGGGGTTCACCACCGTGCCTCCGGAAGCACGTAAAGCCGTTGGTCTTAAAACATCGGACTATAAGAGTGAGGGAGTAGGGTAGACCTGTGCTTTCGTTGAGAATGGCTGCCGTTACCAAAATTCAATCTCCCATCAATGATACCCTTTATATTATAGTTTTAAAAATAAAACACATAGTTGTTTGAATCTTTTAATGATCGAAAGTGAGAATGAGAACTTAGAATCATATAAAATCTGGCTGCTGGCTTTTTAATTTTTTCTGAACAGCAAATAAATACTAATTAGAAATAACTTATGTTATTTGATAATTTATTGTAGATTAATTAAAAATTGTCTCAGGTAGTCAGGGTCAGGCCATGCTGGCATACCTTGTACGCGCGGTGTTATAATGATGGCACGGGTGACAGTTTGCATGTTGCTACGCTTTTATTTGACAAGCGGGACATTTTTACGTATTTTGGGGACAGCAGGATAAAAACCTTTAAATCGGGACCGTCCCACCTAAAGTACGACGTATGGTTTCATGCAGTTTAAACATTTTTTTTATATATATTGTAAACAAATTAGAGCCATCGCCATCCAACGTTAATAGTTTAAACTGCATGAATATATTGTAAACAAATTAGAGCCGATGGCTCTAATTTGTTTACAATATATTCATGAAGTTTAAACATTTTTTTTATATATATTGTAAACAAATTAGAGCCATCGTCATCCAACGTTAATAGTTTAAACTGCATGAATATATTGTAAACAAATTAGAGCCGATGGCTCTAATTTGTTTACAATATATTCATGCAGCTTAAACATTTTTTTATATATATTGTAAACAAATTAGAGCCATCGTCATCCAACGTTAATAGTTTAAACTCCATGAATATATTGTAAACAAATTAGAGCCGATGGCTCTAATTTGTTTACAATATATTCATGCAGTTTAAACATTTTTTTATATATATTGTAAACAAATTAGAGCCATCGTCATCCAACGTTAATAGTTTAAACTGCATGAATATATTGTAAACAAATTAGAGCCGATGGCTCTAATTTGTTCCTTCTTGAAAAATTTACTTCCTTGCATTGATTATATTTTCGTCTTAAATGTAAGAGATAATAACAAATAAATATGACGAATTGACGAGCCCATTTTTATGTGTTGTAGTAATGATGTCTGTGTTAATACTGTCCAAAAACCAATCGTCAGCGGTACGACTGTAAAAAATTGAGTTGCCGTATCTAAAAACGAAAATTGCCGTATTCATGAAAAATATACGAAATTGCCGTAAAGTATTTATTTCTACGAATATTTAAATAAATCACATAAAATCTGAAATGTTTTCATCGTATAGGTTTCCGATTGATTGAAAACATCACTCGTTTGTCTATGCAATTAATATTTTTCTTTGCTTTTCATTTCTTACACATATCATTTGGTTGAGGCTCACAAAAAATCTACTTCGTCTATATTTTTCACGTGCCAAAATTCAAGAATATATAATATATTTTTTGGTAGTTCTTTGTAAATATTCTGATTATTTTCTGTATTGGGCATTATTCGCTTGTTAATATTACTCGATTTAAATTGAGAATACTTTTTAGTATAAGCAAAAACAAACTGGTACAAAAAGTTGGTGAGATGTAATTTCATAGAAAAATAAAATGTGTCCATGCGTAGTACATTTCCTTTTTCTTCATTACTTCATCGTTTGAATAAAGTATCGTGATTTCTTAATGTTATGCCAAATGTAATTGCATAAAACTACAGTTCTAATAATAAGTGTAATAAAACTAGTAAAAAAATAATTAAAAAACGATTGAATAAACAAATGTGTTCCATCTGATTCACGTGTGTTACAAAAACTGTGTTACATAGCAGCTTTTTTGGTAGAAGCAATAGCAACACGTCATCTATTTTTTTCACAATGGCAACACTATAACTTTCAATATGAAACGTCAGTGTTTTGTCAGACATCTTGGTTTACGGGCAGTAGGCAGTACTTGGTGTGTGTTATTTTTCGTCATTGGATTTTAGAGACTTTTGGAAATAATTTTGCAAGGTAAGTAATAACATTAAGTTGTTTTGTAATATATATAATTGAAAGAGACATTAAATATTCCTAAATAATGCAGTTTATTACGGATTTACTTTGCAAGTAAAGATGCTACCTGAATTTTAGGTTATGTTCTTCACGAGTGTTTGTTCACGTATGTTGCGTGTGTTACAAAGTTGTGTGACGTAACACACGTGAAAAGTATAAAGCTTAGTTCACATTGCAATACTTAGGTATAGAAAAAGCTAAATATTTATGTCTTATGTCAAAAAAAGGAGGAGATTCCTAATTCAGCTGATATTTTTTATTTTCTTTTGTATGTATGTTACGCGATTCTCCAGATTCTGTAGACCGATTTCAAAAATACTTTTTGGTGAATAGAGAATGCCTTCAGGCTGGTCCCATATAAATTTGTTGTTTAAAGTACGCTATTTTTGGGTTTTTAAACTGGAAAAAAGTTTAATATACAACAAAAAGTAAAATGTAACTGCATTCATGGTTTTTATTTTTATTTTATGTTGATTTTACAGATGCCTCTAACACCTAAAGAAAGGCAAAAACTTTATCGAGAACGGCTGAGAATTTAAATTGCAGCAAAAACAAAATGCAGAAAGAACAAAAAGAAATAGAAAAAGAATAGCAGAATATACTTCATGTGATCAAGAAATCATAAGAAAGCAGTGGAGAGAGAGAGAGAAAGAAGAAAAGTAAGAAAGAACCTAAGCCTGAAGTAGTGCCTTTAGAAGGACATGGACAAATTTTAACACAAGCGAAATTATAATAGAAGGGTCATTTATAGACTGAAAAATGAAAACACAAAGCTAGAAGAGGAATTAAAAAATATAAAAAGTCGTTGAAAAAAATTAGGCAAAGATTAAACCGTTCTATGGAAAAAAATAAAAAGTTACTTGAAATTATTGAGGAGAAAAACCAAATGATTCGTAGCTTTGAAGACAGGTCAAGCCCAATTGCCAAAAAAGATGAAGCCCTTGAACAAATGACCCCCGTTTCGAAAACGTGCGCATACATTGACCAAAATTTACCTAGTATTCGACCTGAAGAAAGAGAAAGCGTGAAAAAAGTTTTGCTAGAACATAATGTAATAGTGGACACTATAAAAGACAGCTACAAAAGTAAAAACACTCAAGGAAAACGATTAATTAAAGATGTTTTTATCAAAAGTGATAACATTAATAAATACAGTATTAAAACTAAGATGGCTACCTATTTAGGTCTTAAAGGAAAAATTCGTCACACTAAACAGAAAAATAAAAGCCCATTAATACAGACACAGTTAAGAAACTTTTATGAAAGGGACGATGTGAGTAGGATGACAGCAGGGAAAACGAAGTAAAGACACAAAAAAAAAAAAGAACAGAGAAAGTATTTCTGGCACTCTACATAAATTATATTCAGAAATATAGAGAAGAAGGAGGAAAATTATCATTTTCAACTTTCAAAAGGTACATCCATTCCTACAATATCGTGCATCAGTACAAACAATATCGGCATCATAGAAAATAGAGACCGTACTGTCGTTCTACACGTTGATTTTTCGGAAAACTATTATTGCAAATTAGCCACTGAAATACAAACCATGCATTTTGATGGGTCCAGACAACAGATCTCCCACACTGGGGTGTTATATACCGAAAAAGGTCATCAATCTTTTGCAAGTTTAAGTCCAAAAAAACCACGAAATGCCATTGGGGCACATCTCTTACCTGTGCTTAAGTTGGTCAAGGAGAAATTACCCAAAGTAGACGGGATTCATTTTTATTCAGATGGCCCAACTGTACAATACCGACACAAGAAAAACTTTTATTATTTCGCAAAACTGACGAAAGAGTTGGGCTTTCCATTTTCCACGTGGAACTTTTACGAAGCGTCACACGGTAAAGGAGCCGCTGATGGTGTAGGAGGAGCCATTAAAAGAAAATTGGACTCAATTGTCGCTTATGGTTCAAATGTACCATACCACTGGTACTATAAGCTTATGAATTTTTACAAGCGTCTGAAACCAAAATACAGCTTTTCTTTATACCTGAAGATGCCATGCTGAACGAATCAGTAGAACTCTTACCAGTACTAAACACGATGAAAATACATCAGATTATTAACAATGTTGACTTAGCTAACTCTATTTCCTACCGTTGTTTAAGTTGCTTCTGCGAAAAGAGTAGACCAGGTTTTTGCGACTGTCACAATCTGAAATCTGCGGACTTGCTAAAGCAAACAGAAATGTTAAATGAAAAATCTATTCCGTCTAAAACGTCTATAACAGTATTAGCTGACATTAAAAATACTCAAGAAAACAGGTCTTATTTTAAGTACCCGGTTGACCGAGCTTTGCTCGGTATTTTTCGCTCGGTTTTTTTTAATTCGTGTGTTTTGCAAATTACATTTAGATACAAATTACATACTGATGAAATACGAATAATAATTTTTGATCTTAGCGACATAATAGAAAAAACTGAACTGGTTATTTAATAAAAAATCATGAGTGCAATTAGTTTAATTTAAATTTTCGTGTTTTTAATAAATACTAAAAAAAGGGCTCGAAGAAATAGATTTTCTCAAAAAAGAAAGGAACTTGAAAAAAAAATTAAAAAAAGTCGGTCGGTCGGTCTGGGCTCGAACCATGGTATTACGATTTTGTGACCGCCCAATATACCAATTAAGCTATTTGTAATTATTAATAAACTGTCAAAATTTACCTTCTTATTCTAACGATATTGTAGCAGTTTTTCATTGCCTAAAAACACGGACAAAAAGACATTTTCTAAATATATATATATATATATATATATATATATATATATATATATATATATATATATATATATAAGAATTAGGTATAGGATTTGAGACAATATGGACCATTCAATTTAAAACAAATAAACCTCAAAACAGACATTGCTAGCAAAAGTTTGAAAGAAAATTCTCATGACAGAATGAAGAAATGTTCAAAGAAAAGAAAAATAAAAGACATACACCTTAAAACAAACAAGAAACTTAAAACGGAAGAGGAGAGCAGTACAGACGAAGATATGACGATTTCTTTGCATGATACTTCTGATGAAGAGTATCACATTACAGATGATATCTTATCAGATGATGATTATCTGTATCATATGGATTATCAATTGAAAGAACAGAAGAACGTTACAAATTTAAGAAAAATATCAGACACAATTAAAATAGAGAGAGAAAAAATAGAACAATCAAGCCATGAAGATAAAAAAATACATACACTGGTAAAGACACAAGAGAAATAAACATTTTTTCTAATGAAAATCAGGGAGTAGTTAAAACTAATTTAGCTGGACAATCTGTGATTGCTACGACTCTGCAGGATGATGAAAATAACTTTGCCAATGCAAAAAATGACTCGGAAGTGACATCAAAAATTAATACAGACATATGGAGGCTATCTTTCAAAGACACTGTACTTGTAAGGTATTATCAAAGAACCGCGTGGAAGTATTACATAGGATTCTTGGAAGACAGTTTTAAAAAAGAAGGAAAATCTTATTTTACCATACGATTTCTGAAAACCATTGAAAAACCGGAGTTAAAGTTTGTAATTCACAAAATAAAAGATGAAGACACTGTAACTGACGATTTAATAGTTAAGCAGGTTAAAATAACCCAAAACACAAAACGACCAAAAGAATACTTTTTAGCTGATCCTAGCGATAAGGTTTATTTTGAGTAGAATCAAGTAAGTAGATATAACATAAATATATATAAAACATATATATATATATATATATATATATATATATATATATATATATAAATATTCAAATAATGCCAAAATAATACGATTGTGTAATTCTTAGTACAAATTTTGATCTCTTTGTTTTTTAAGTAAATAATTCTATCTATAATCGTATTTTATTTGAAATTAAATTTTTTTATTCCTTTATGTGCATCAAGCTTAACAACATTTCCAGTGTGTTACACAATTCCAGTGTGTTATCGTGTGTTACAAGTTCTTGTGTGTTATGGTACATTTTCTGTGAGCCTCACTCATTTGACACTTGTTTCGTACAACCTCCTTTATTTTTAACTGCACACAACACAACTTGTCTTGCTAATAGGGCTCCGTTGACAGTGGATGTTATCAATTGATTTCTGGATTTTGTTTTCATATTGTTTACTTCACTGAAAACTCTTTCGCAATCTGCATTGCTATGTTTTAGATAGACATAATACGTCAAAAGCAAAATTTGCTAATATTTTGCAGTCTGTAGTATCTTGCACATTTGCCCAAAATTCATATTTTTATTTCTAATTCTGAAAATTTGTTTACATTTTGTAGCAACCTCCACTCGTCATCAATTCGTTGCTTGTCCGATTATCTCACAACTCGTGGCAATTTCTGGGTCAGTGGCGATAACGACGAAAAACAACTATGACGTCTTTGTCCTTTTCACGCGTTTTGAAGTAAAAGTATAAGCTTTTTGTAGAAAGTCCAGTCATTCCAACAAAGCCCACTTGGATCCAAGTTAAATTTACTGCCAGGGTAAATACTACAAAAGTACAGTATACATCTTATAGTTCATAATGTTGTACATTCATTCAATAATATAAACAAAGTAAATATGTGTATCTCTTTCATTCATTACTTCTATCAATGTCAACCATGTGTCATGTTCATGCCATCTTTGTTAGTCTCATAAAATAAAAGATGGAACGGAATTTCCCGTCATAGACAACCACACTCTTTATTATCACTTAAGGGATGACGAAAGTGAAAAAAATATGGATATCGATACAGGTATTTATGTTTTATTGTTCATAATTTGCTATCGTGGTTTATCGCAAAGCTGAATTGCCGTAATACTTGACACGGCAATGAAAAGCCTGCCGTATGCCGTATAATCTTTAAAAAAAATCGTGGAATGACGTATATTACGGCAATTGCCATATCGATCGCAACGCTGCCGATCGTGGACCAGCGCCGCCATCGGCGCAGTGAAAAAACGAAGGCCCGTACCGGTTAATGGAAAACCGCCTAAACTGACCGCACTCAAATTATGCTGTCACCGAAACTACAGCGCTGATTTTCAGTGGGCCCGAACGAATAATGACGTATGGACGTATGCGTGCGATATATAATGTAATGTCCTCCTGACCGAATTTCGGCCACGGCGGCCTGCCTCAACGTAGGCTAGCTATCGGCGCAGGATAGGATTATAGTGCCCAAGTGTATGCGCAAGCACAGGTGCACTCTCGTAATCCGATGGGACGGTAAACCGACACGTCCGGGAGAGAGATAAGGCGCCAACGGCTTTACGTGCTTTCCGAGGCACGGCGGGGTGAGACATCGCCAACTTCCTGACTCCGGGCAGCTACTGAGAATTTCTTGACGGAAAAACTCAATAATTGATTTTTTGAACCGACCCGGGATTCGAACCCAGAACCTCATGATCAGCAGTCGCACTACTACAACCACTAGACCAACGAGGCGTGCGATACATAATAGTATTATAAAATCAACTCGTTGATGAGCCGATGGCTCTAATTTGTTTACAAAATAAGAGAATCTTACCGCGGATGCATATCGAAGCAAACGCCTATAAGGTGCACGATATTCGGATGGTTGAACTTGGCCATGATTGCAGCCTCCATCAAGAAGTCGTTCTCCGACTGGCCGGTGGAGAGCTCCGGCAGCGTCTTGACGGCGACCGGCATCTCCACCGAGTCGCCGCTGCGGTGCCGGTACAGCCCCTGGTACACTTCGCCGAACGCTCCCTGCCCTAATGCCCTGGATACATATTAAAAAAGTGAAACGACATTAGATATACATGTCTCACAGCTGGGCACAGGCTTGCTCTTATTTAAAAAAATATTTATGGAGCAAAGTTTGGTTATGAAAGTAAACATCGTAAGAAAAACATGTTTTGGAAATAACATAATATCGAAATTATTCCAACTTTATACGTGGCAGTTATATTATGATTGTAGCACGAATGGAACGGCTCGACCTGGGAAAGACCACGCTCTCACAGAATACCAGCGTAAAATAGCATCTCAATGCTGCTGTGTTTCGTACGGTGAATGTAGAGAACCGGTGACCCATTTCACTGAAAACGAAGCATTTCATTTTAGTTCTCACGTATGATAACGCATCTGAATCTTAATTCGTAATCGAGGATATATGTAGATGTCTATGTGCTACAGCATCCACTTAGCATCAGGTGTACTGTGTGCTCATTTGTCACCCTTATTGTATAAAAAAACTTAATTTGTTTATTTTCGCGTAATGAAATAAAATGACGTGTCCTGCCCACTAAGCAGTTCCCATAGGTGGTTAGGCATTGGAGGGTCTATTTAACCTGAGAATGTCTCGTTTATAAATGAAACTCATATCGTATTATCGAGGGTGTTATATCGTTCCTATTGTGTAGGTGTTGGGAGTTGTAGTGGCGGGGATAGTGCACGCATTTGAGGGAGGGTGGGAGGTCTTCAAAACACATAATTTTATTTAATTACGCGGAAATAAGCAAATTAAGTTCTAACAACTTTAATATATTGGATTTCCTCAAAGTAATGCCTCATTATATTATATATTATCACATATCACATTCGCAGCTCCAAGAGATTCATGTCGAAGGTTGTTCCCCACATATAACTTACTAACTGTAACGAGCATGTACACTTTTGAATTATGCCGATTTGTTAGGAAAAATCCTCATTATTTCCAGCGATTTGAAGATAGACCCAGTCGCTACGGCACACGCCGAGGTTATAATCTGGTTGCTCCTGCCACACATCTCACATTATATAAAAATGGTCCCTACTACATGGCTATAAGGTTTACAATCATTTACCTACTACAATAAAAGCCCTCCAGTGTCGTAAATTTGAAATAGTACTCAAGAAAATGCTTATTGTATAAACATATTACAGTTTGAATGAAATTTTAATGATAAATTATAAATCAATTTTAATTATTTGACAGTTTTCTTTATTTCTATTTACATATTTGACATTGTTAGTATTTTTCAACAAAATTTTTAAACTTTATTTAGATAATATAAATGACGAATGATCAGTTGACAATATTTAATGAAATTTAATTTTTAAAATAAATGTGTAAGTATTATTGAGTCTGACATTTTATAATATAATTTATATATTGCGTACTATAAATACTGTAATTTGAATGAAATGAAAATGAATTCTATATTAATTAAAATTTAAACTCTGTTTTAATATGCTACGCCCGTACAGGCTGTCACATGTTCTGTAAATATATTGTTCCAACTTTATACTTTGTGACATGCAATAAAGAATTATGAATTATGAATTATTAACATAATATTTCGAAGAAAGCGTCGACCTTTGCACATATATGTTACGCAGCACTATTTTACTGTTTGCGGTCTAGGATTCCGTGCGAGTGTGTTCCTTCCCCGGTCAAGCAGACTCATTCACGTGGCTCTACCACGTTAAATTTGTTACCACGCAATCAATAAAATTACAAAGATAGCAGTGAACGAGCGATCGAAACGGTTAATGAGTAAAAAGGAACACATTCTACACTTAGACGGAGTAGTGAAAAAAAATTCTTCGTCTCGGAATAACGATTCATAGAAGGATTAGTTATATCAATAGGAAAACAACGGCATAAAAGACTTACTTAACAAGCTTCAAGCTCTCCCGAGAAACTTTCGGTAAATCCCTAACATCAATACCCTGAGGAAGGAAGTTTTCGCTGCCGTAGTACGGGTTGAAAGCCATAGACAAAGGATTCTCGTTCCTGCCCGAAGGATTCCTTAGACGGTGCAGTTGAACTTCTTGCTCGAGAAGACGCTTCTGGTTGAGTTCTTCTTCCTTCTTTCGCTGATATTTGTTATCTGTTACAATTAATAATTTAATAAAAAAAAATTTAACAGCCCAAGGGTACGGTCGGAAATAGAACCCAGTATACTGGCCAAAGCAAATGACATCATAAATCTACGCCATACTGGTGATTCGTTATATTGAATATGGTGGAATATGGCGTCAGTTAATGATGTCACTTATTATTACTATACTGGGAACATTTCGGAACATACCCCATAAAAGTCATTGGTCCCAATTAGAGCTAATTATTTACCTCTCACCAGAAGTCGCTGGTGAAGTAATTTGTTATATCTGATAAGAAAAGATGTGTTTTAAATAAAAGTTTTTCGACTTCTGACTTAACCTATACACTCAAAACAATACCTCAGTGGTTATTCCATATTTTATAACTCTATTTTTAATTCTTTTACTTTTAGGGATATCCGTAGTTAGGTTTATTCGTTATTATTTAATAAATATAAAATGTAACTAATATTTCAGAAATAAATATATAACTTGAAACATAACCTGCAAATATTTCACCTCATTCAAAAGTGGTGCCGTATGGTGGCAGAAACAGTTGAGGGTATCCTCATTACGGAAGAATTTGTCCTATCAATACAAGTGGCAAGCAGACTAGTGATGAATACCAGACGATTTGCAACGTTGTAGAGCCACGCTGCATTTATATTATACAGGCTGTTAGTGTAAACACCGTTATCCTTAAAACCAGTGGTTTGGTTTCACTCATAGAACGTAAATTCAATGAGTTTAAAAGAGAACGCTATTTTCTTTCATAAAATTTAAAAAGATTCTGTCCGACACCGTCCGTAAATTCATGGATACCCTATGCGCCCGAGTGACGTAATCACTGTAAAGATAACCACTCGCGTTAGCTACCTACACTACATTACAATAAAAACACAAACTGTGTACCTAACACATAACCTGTGATGTAACTTTTCCTTCATACCTTCATCCTGGCTTAGGACAGGCAAAAATTGAGGAGTCAAGGAAAAATTGAGATTTTACTAAACAAAATGTTATTTTTCATTGAATTTACGTTCTATAAGTGAAACCAAACCACTGGTTTCAAGGATAACGGTGTTTGCACTAACACCCTGTAGTTGTAGCACGAACGGGTCAGCTCGACCAGGGAAGGACCACGCTCTCACAGAATACCAGCGTCAAATAGCAGCTTAACGCTGCTGTGTTTCGTTTGGTGAGTGTAGAGAACCGGAGGCCCTTTTTAAACGAGGCATTCCATCTTAGTCCTCACGGGTGACAATGCATCTGCATTTTTATTCGTTATCGAGGATAGATGTAGATGTCTATGGGTCACAGCAACCGCTTACCATCAGGCAGACTGTGTGTTCGTTTATCATCCTTATATTATAAAAAAATTGATGCTGTACCACTTCAAGGAACTTACGCGGAATATATCAGTAGCGTATTTTCTTAACTTCTATAGTTTGCCTCTCCATAAATTAACGAAAAAGAAACATCAAGAATAAGCGATGGTGCTTTAAATATTAATAACTTTTGTATCCACAAATTGGTGGTCATATTCTACAAAATCCTTATTTTTTATTATACAAGCACACATTCCACCTAATGGTAATTGGATGTTGTGACCCATAGACAGTAGCGTTTTCTTCCTTGAGGACTAAGTGGAATCCCCCGTTTCTATTAAAAGGGTCTCCGGTTACACTCAGCGTAAGAAATATGGCAGCATTAAGCGGCTATTTTACGATGGTATTCCGTGAGAGCGTTATGTTACCCCGGTCGAGCCGACCCATTTATGCCACAACCATAATATAACTGAAGCGTGGTTCTACTACGTAAAAATATTCTATAAAATTTCATCAATGACACCTTAAATAACGCCACATTAACAGCTCCTGTCCAGACGAAGTCAGTGCTTGTCCCTAATATTTAATAAAAAGTGGTCTATTGTCAAAGTGTTTCCTTAAATTGTCATGATACAGTAAAACTTGGAAAAGTGCGGGTAGAATAAGAATTAGCAAACAAAACGGTACACAAAATAAATAGTCTCAGTAAAAGAGGTAAAATACACTCGCTGTCTATTATGGAGGTAATTATGATGATTAAATTATAATAAATAATCCCAGATATAGAGGTTTGTTTCGTTCCACTAATATAGGTAACTCAGTGCTAAAGTGGCGGATCTAAGCATGAGTTCCAGCTATGGAGGTTTCTCACTTATTTAACTTATTAATTATATTATTGGCAAAACGCGTACATCTTAATGTACAATAATTGTATTAATAATTATGTAAGTATAAATAAACGTAACATTCATTATGAATTTAGCTAACCACACTAATGCCCAAACACTAAAACGTTGCTTAATTTTAGGATGCCGTTATGTTTCGTGCTGTCTCTATCACTTTAAGTCAAAGGGACTGTGACAGCACGAGTCTTTACGACATCTTAAAATTGAGTAGCATTAAGTGATTAAGTGTTTCGCCATTAATAATATATTTTAAAAAATTAAACGGCGACATAAAGCAGTAATAATAAGTAATGTAAAGAATCCTCCGGATAAACCATACAGATCCCTTGTTAAAACTCTACTTAACTTCTCCGTTCATAATTCTGGTTTTTTTCCATAGACGTAATAAAACATATAGACTTGAAATGTTTGACTATAGCATTGATTTATATATTACACTAGATTAGTAATTACCGCGCGAAAGCGTTACTACTACATATATGGCCACAGCCATATGCCTAGCTAACGTCAGTTCAGTGTTCAATGTGACGCCGACAGAGTTGAGCCGCGACAAAAAATGGGTAAATGCGTAATGAAAGAATGCGATTCAAGGTCACAGAAATATTAAATCAAGTGGAATCACTTTCAAAACATAATGTTTAGTTCTTGTTTTGATATAAACGTAAAGAACCTCAAATAATTAAATAAAATTATCGAATATTGCGATTTAGGTTAAATGTTGCCACTTTTCCGCCTTTTATTATCCCACATTAACGGGAGACTATATAATTAATGGAGTAAGTTAATTTTTTTACCTCTGATTTTAAATATTTTGGAAATTATAATATAAACTATGTTTTAACTTTCATACAAAATAATTAATTATTCTTATTTAAGTTTTTTCATGAATGCTCTATTAAATATATTTTATTACCTATTTTATATTCATAATTTTATATTGATTACAAATTAATTTTTATATAAATGTTATATTTTATATTCATTATATTTTATTGCCTATTTTATATTGTTTGATTTATTAGCACAATAAAAATACTTATAAAATATGTTTTATTTCATCAGTTACCTATGTTAACTTCTATTTACCTGATAAGAAAATATACTTTTTTTAAATAAAAAAAATTAACTGCAGCTTAAAAAAACTTTTATTATTTTATATATTTATTTTGGGTTAAATTTCATATAGTAAGCCACACCAACCTGACATTGCGTGTTTGGTGTGTCTATCTTTATCTAATCTTAGCAACGGTATTGTTTTCGCATCTTGTGTAAGTGAGACAGATATATGTTTATTTAAAACGTTTTCTTTTAACCTTCTTAATATCGCATGAAAACACAATGTATCTCATAAGTAATACATATTATTTTAAACTGGATTGCTTAGTGCGATTGCCAAGTCAATCTATTTATTTAAAACATAAAAGATTTTTAATATCGATATGGTCACAATAAGATGTTGTTATGTTGGCTTATGTAATAACTTAAGACAGAAGGATCCTTAAGTAGGGACTGAATAAATTAACTGACTTGGTATTACATGGATCTCACAATATTTTACGATAGAAGAACTGAGTTGCGAGACTTTGTTTTTCTTACAAGTTATGTTTTTGATGGCATCTCATTTCTTTTTGCAGATAGTCCACTTTTTTTCCTTCCGGTACCTTCTACTTCTTGATTACCAACGTAGTACTTATCTACACCTTTTATTCCATTATGTTATACATACAACAGGTATACTGATTCATTCACTGCAAATGTAACTTTGTAATCCTATATATTTATATGCGATTGCACAGTTATTTATGCAGTTAGTGTATCTAGTAAACTGGACCGAAATTGAAAAACATTTTAGTTTTTTCTTGATTAATACACTAAACACTAATTGTTTTCTAAGTTTGAAGTTTCTATGTCTGCTAGAAGTGCCTTAGAGTTTTGATGATCGGTCAGTCAGTGAGTGACTGACTAAATTAAGAAATTTTGACTAATTATAATTCCTAAACTACTGGTTCAAGATTGAATGAAACATACCGTGTCTATGAAATGCCTTCCTGTTTATTGAAAATTTGAAAATTCAGGCTTCTAGTTTCATCCACAACGAAGTTATAGAGGGGTTGAAAATGGCCTGAACTGCTTCGAGAAAAGGATGGTACTGCCGTGCCTCGTTTTTGTTTGACTTGGCGGAGATTTATATGGTTGAAAAATAAATGTTACACTTCACAATCATCTGCATGTTAAAAATGGTAGGTGTAGGAAACTTAACATTAAAAATAATAATTACTAGCTTCTGGCTGTGACTTAGCGAGAAAGGACAATGTCCAAAATCGTCCTGTGTAATAAAAAACATCAGATATACACGATAATTAATTATGTATTTTATTATATTTGTTGCAAATACTTTTATAACACGGACTAGCTGCATGCCAAAACGAAAACATTACAAAAGTATTCTATTCGACTTATAACATTAATCGCCGCCATCTTCGCCAAACGTCATGTGGTATATAAAATTACTAGCGATTGGGCGTCCAATCGCTTATAATCGATGTTTTGAATTTTTAATAAACAGTTGCATATTTTTTCATGTTTTGAATTTATTTCGAATAAAGTGCAAATAAAAAACTATAATAAAAACAATAAACCACCATTTCTTTTTGTTATTCCCTAAAAGTGTAATTTAAAAAACCTACTCTACCTAATGAATGAGGTCAAACTCGAAAATAAATAGGTAGTTAGAATAACGCTGAATTGAACAAAACCTAATTATTTTATCATGATCAGGTTTTCTAATGATGGTTTAGAAAAGCGTGTGGCTTACTTCTATCTAAACGATCACTTACGAGTTTATGATAATTATAGTCAAGCAAATCTAAGAAATACCTTTTGACGTTTCACATTAATCATTCAGCAATATCTTTGCACAAGCGTACTCACAAGATTTAAAATAATCATTTACGTAAATCCGAAGAATTATAAAATTGTCTATATTTCATTACAACGTGTATAGTTTTTTATAAATAATTTTAATATGAATCTTTCAAACAAAGCAAGATATTAAAAAATAACCAGTATCAAATTTTTGTACTTGACGTCGTTTCAATAATATGTCGCTATGTACATTACCGTAGTGCTTGGATGATTAAAATTCATTGTTATGCGAATAATCGGCAAAAATATTCTAATAATCGGTAAAAATATTGAAATAATCGAAAAATTAATTTTTTAACGTATAATTTAATTTGTTTAATTTAATTTTTCTTTTTATAATTCCTTAAATTACATGAATCACGAATAAAACAATTTTTTTTTAATTTTCATCGTAAATTTGTGTAGGCAAAAAATCATATATAAGGCCGCGATATAAAAACCACTACGTAATTTCAATATCCCGCCTTTTCGGGAGCTTACTGTAAATAATTTTTTGATTTTGTGTTTGTCTTCTTATTCTGTGACTCGGCTTTTACTTTTTGGACTGTTTCTTCAATATTCGTTGAAGCATGTGCCGATTTCACGGATGTCAGGGCAAACAATGTATGGGCGCTGAGCAATGTCCTTTATTGTTCCCCCGACTCATATCCCGCCGCATCGCATTGCCTGCTCGCGCTATCAATTCGTTTTCGCTTTTTTTTTCAGACTTTTTTTGTTTTTGATTAGCTTCTAAGTGTCATAGCGTGGTGTTTTATAGGCTAGGCTATAGCATTTCTCAAGAACTGAGCTATCAAATCAAAAATGTTTTTTTCAAATACGACTGGTAGTTCTATAGATTACCCCTTGCATACCAACAATTTTTATCTCTTTATAACATCAGATGATTAGTTCTGCCAATGTAGTCCGTAAAATTCATATTTTCATAAGTCTTTTTGCAAATTGTAGTTTTGTATTGGATCGTATGTTGATCATAATGTGATACACGACAAAAGCTAAACTAAACTATTAATAAAATAAAATAATAAAATTATATTTCATTAAAAATACCATTTATGGGCCATTGACGGAACCACCATAAAAATATGTTCTACGTTTTAGACGTGAAAAATAACGAACTTTTAAAACAACTTAGATGAAAGGCATAAATAAGTTAGAAAACTTGGGGTATTTTTACCCACAGATAGTGTGCCGTGTGTCCATGGCTCCGTGGCCATATGAAAACATTCTCACAATCTTTTGTCGATGTTATTATTACAGAAATATCGATATGGGCTGCCCTATTAACCGCCATTTTATCATCTCAGTAAAGTGAACCGTTTTCTTGTAGGTATGCCAGGTCCATATGTTTTACATACGTCAATGGTTTTTTCCTACGCCTCTTCTGTCCACGCGGTTATGTTATGGAACTCTCTACCGCCAAGATAAGAGGTTCCCAAACTTTACTGGTATTTAAGAAACGTATTATAGATATTTTATTTGCATCCTGTTAATTAATATGTACTGGATGACCTTTTCTACCATCTGGAACAAAATAGGGTGTAACATGTGAACAGAGTAGAAACCTATGGCACTGATATTTTACAAAAAATAAAAACATAAATGTTGAATTTACGTTTGAATTTTTTTAACAATTACTTTGCCCTTTGTCCTTGAGCTTGTGACCCTGTGAAGTGACAAGGTCAAAGATGCCTACTAAATTTATTGTTTTATTGCCGTTCGTAAAGTAGGGTGGATATGATTTGAATTTCCATAGATTTTTGTTTTTATTTTTTGTAAAATATCAGTGCCATTAGCTTCTATTCCATTCACATGTTACAGCCAGTTTTTTATACGGTAAAAGGTCATTCACTTCATAGTAGCACATATATTAGTATTAGTCCATAATATATACATGTTACTATCGTATATGTTGTTATTATATATTGTACCTATTATTTAATAATATTTAGGTAACATCATGTATAATGTACGCATGTAGCGTGCGTCTTTTAACTAAAATAAAACATTTTCCTTTAGAAGGTAGACCAATACTGGAAGATATTTCGGCAAATTATGGAATAAATAGAACCCTTGTACGAACTCACTATATGACTGTTTCTGTATCTAGTTGTGTGTACATTAATAAATAAATAAATAGAATCTCCACAAAATAACCTCAAACTAAGCAACCGATCGTTATGTGTAAAAATCACAAAAGTAGACTTACAAAAATGTAGAGCGATGCACACCACGAACAATATGCAGCAGCAAATAACAGCTGCGCCGAAGCACAGCAGCACCCAAGAATAAGACTGCTTTTCCACTGCGAATGACGCCGTTATCATTACTAATACTGTTAAAAACCTCACGTAAGCTTATAATATTTACTTGGCTATTTAGCTTAATTATTAGTTGGGTTGTTCCGTTTATACATCCTAAGACGTAAGACACCCTAAGAGAAGAGGTAAAGTGGATACTCGGAAACGCGTGTTCGTTTATCCATCCTTGGCGGTAGATAATCGGAATTTACTTCTTGATTTTTGTTCCGCCTTTCCACCCCAAGTATAGTTCAACAGAAAACATATTCATACTTTATGTGTACTTTATACATATTATTAATTTTAATGATCACAAACTTAAACAAAAATCATATTACCTATTATATGCATTTAAACCAAATTCAACTTCCTTGTTTTAAATAATAATATGTAATTTATAAATTCTACAATATTTCCACGAAATGACCAACACTAATTTCTTTATTGAGTAGACTTAATATCGTATATTCTGTATAAATTCGTCTCTCAATAAAATACATTTTAAAATTTGTTAAGTACCGTACTATTTCCAATACTGTGTTTGTATAATCAACAATATATTTGTTTAATTTAAATATCTACTCAATATAATATATTTACGGTATTAACATCAATGGCGAGTTCATCACTCACCTTCGATTTGCCGACGATATAGTCCTTATGGCAGAATCGCTGGAGGACCTAAGTACTATGCTCAATGACCTCAATGGTGTCTTCCAACGGATAGGTCTTAAGATGAACATGGACAAAACAAAGATCATGTTTAATGTCCATGTCACACCTATGCCGGTAGTTGTTGGGAGCACTATGCTCGAAGTTGTTGACGAGTACGTTTACCTGGGACAAATAGTCCGGCTAGGTACAACTTCGACCGAGAGGTCAATCGACGGATTAAACTCGGCTGGGCAGCGTTCGGGAAATTACGACACATCTTCTCGTCAGGTATACCTCAGTCTCTGAAAACTAGATTGTACAACCAGTGCGTGTTACCAGTGATGACTTACGGATCAAAGACGTGGTCCTTCACTGCTCGCCGTATGAGGACGCTCAAGGTCGCTCAGCGAGCTGTGAAGAGGGCTATGCTCGGAGTTTCTCTGCGTGATACTCAGAAAAGAGGATATCCGCAGTAAAACCAGAGTGACCGACATAGCCCAACGGATTAGTAAGCTGAAGTGGCAATGGGCCGGCCATATAGCTCGAAGAACCGATAACCGATGGGGAAGAAAGGTTCTCGAGTGGCAGCCTCGTACCGGTAGGCGTAGTGTATGGCGACCCCCCACTAGATGGAGTGACGACCTGGTAAGATATGCAGGAAGTCGATGGATGCAGGTGGCTCAGGACCGTGCTTTGTGGCATTACTTGGGGGAGGCCTATGTTCAGCAGTGGACTTGTGAAGGGCTGTAATGATGATGTGGATGATGATGATAATATATTTAAAACGAATTGCAGTAAAACATTTCTTTCATCATAAAATATATCCAAAACGACTAAATTATGTCACATGAAAAGATATGTAATTGAACGATTAAAAGTATTTCAGTTTTAACCTTTAAGCAAGAAGTACTCGTATTGCGTAGTGGTATAAAAGTCTATGACTCGTATTATGTATTTTTATAAGTATGCTAATGTCGAATAACTAATCTTGGGTCAATTTCTATCGTTTTTATAAACGACTGTACACAGCCGAGGGGGAAAATCGGAAGAAAAATAATATACGAATTCCGATTATCCACACCGTCTGTGGTGGACAAACAAACACGCGATTCGGAGTATCCATCCTAGGGTGTATTTCTTAGGGAGGATAAGCCGAATAACCCAAATCATTTTGTTTAAAACTGCACGCGTTGTTGGCAACACCAACACTACATTGTAAATGTAGCTTTAAGGCTGGTATTAATTTTATTTTGTTTATGACTACGATGATGACGTCCAACCGTACGCTACATTTATGTGATATCTCAATACTAAATTTTGACTATATACATTGCAACCAATAGTATATTCGGCCGTATGCCGAATAGCTGAATAGCCGAAATAGGCAAAAGTATTCGGTAATTACTATTTATTTATTTATTTTCTATTTAATACCTATACCTATTATTTTATGATAAACAGTGAACTTGTGAAGAAATTAAGCCTCACGCTTACTGGGTTGATTGACGAGGTCAGTATACCAGACGTGGTGAGCGCTGCTGGGTCACTCCCATCGTAGGAAGAAGTCTGGTTAGTCCATGCAAATTGCAAGTTTCTACTCTCTGTCGCTTGGCTTTGTAATTATATATCTGGTAAATACGTATTAAAACTGAGAACAAGCAAAACCCTGGTAGCTGAAGGGTACGCTCGCTGTAAATTTTACAGTACATGAACAACCAGAGTTCGATTCCCGTCGCGCTGATAACAATGAAATTGTTAATAAGTGCTCATTTATCACGGTGAAGCAAAAAATCTTAAGGAAAACATGTCTGAGAAATTATGTGCATGTACCTGTGTGTATTTATTCCTGGAAATTAGTATTGATACTTGTTGATATTGTATAAAAGTCGAAAAGAAGAAAAAATACAAAAAACGACATTTAAAAATATTTTAAATATCGTTTCTCCTTTAAGTTATATTATTTTTAAATATAACCTTCCTATAATGATTTCTTAAATTTATGTGAACACTACACATTGAATAAAACCGCTGAGACCGATTTACTTTTGGTTCGATTTACGCAGAACGAGCATACAGTATCATGAAGTCTTGCAGTGGTACGCTTGGGTTTGGATTTAATTTAGTTAATTATAGGATCCCAAGCAGATGGCAGCACCCATCCATCTTCTCTATTGCAATTAGGATGTTTTTTTTTAATTTCAATAGCCTCGCGTATCATCCTTGGTAGGAATCGGTGTTCTTTTACGAGGATTTGTAGTTTATCAAATATGAAGTAATGGATCAGACCATTACATCAGATTTGATGTTCTTAACATATAGCTGATGTGAAGCACCGACGTTTCGGGAAGTCTGCAGTCTATGAACATGTTCAAGATCGTCCCCAAAGTAAAAATAAGTTAAATAAACGCGAATGTGATCCGTATAAGTAGCTTTATTCAATGTTTTATTTTATTTATTTAATCTTTATTATTTTACATCTTAATCTAAGTCTACTAGTTGGTAATAGGTGCTAAAATATTGAAATGAATAGACTTATATTGTAAATAAATATACATGCATACATACTAATATACATAAAGAAAATATATATATATATATATATATATAAGTGTTGTGAAATGGAGTTTTTTTTTAACGTGTACTTATTCGATGCTTTTTTTATATAAACGGGCAAGGCGTTCCAGAGAAGTATTGCCTATAATGTTACCTTCCTTTAAATCTCTACGTGGGTAATACAAGTATTTTTTTCTTACTTATGCATTTAGTGGGATCGTCCACGTCCGACATCCAAGTAGCAGGGCAGTAGCAAGTCACCTCGCTTCTATATTCGTTCAGCGCCACACAGCGGTACGCACAGCCGCAATCCTGTTCACAAAGAATTTTGTGCAGTCGCATTATTATAATTATACATATATAATATATGTAATAATTGCCTGCAGACCGAAATTAAGTCAAGACGGTCAATCTCAACAGAGACTAGCTGTCAACGCAGCACAGGATTATACTCGTAGTGTACTGGACGCCACTGGTCAGTTCAACTGATCATTCCAACTGATCAGTTCATACTAAAACTGTTGATATTTTTTAAAAGATTGGATTTTCGATATATCGATAAATAAACTTATATATAAAACTCTGATATTGATATATTTATAATTATAGATATATTGAAAATTCAATATTTAATTAAAAAATTATCAACAGTTTTAGTTTGAACTGATCAGTTGAAATGACCGTGTGTGGCGTCCATAATAGTGTAATCCCGTTTGATGGATGGTTGGACAATCAAACACGACCGGAGAGACACAACTGGGGGTCTCTCCGGTCGTAAACCGTTTGCCCTACAGGTGTATAGTATACGACTATGTGTTTTTGTCTCTGTCCTCCACCTAGTTTAGGTTTTACAGGGCGGCAAAGCTGGTGAGAAAGCTTAAGGTGACCGTACTACCCTCACGTACTTTATACTATTTCACTAGGTGGTAGTATTATGTTTTTGCGTAAAAGTCCGTCCAGGTAGATACCACCTACTTATTTATTTCTAGTGCCAAATAGCAATACTCGCAGGTAGAGCCGGTATAATACAGGCCGTGAGGCATTCCATCTAAGTCTACGTATCTGTGGACTTCTTTGTTTCGGCATTTGTCCATGGACTGCAACAGCCAATTACCATTTTACCATTCTTCGCCTCCAGTACCCACGTTGGAGACATTTTTCTCTCTCTAGACACTCCTTGGTGATCAATTGTCGAACCAAAATACAGATGACTGTAATGCATTGAGACTAGATGCGTTCTTTAGTTTTACGAGTATGCCTTCGTACGTAGTAGTTCTAATATATATATATACATGTATATATGTATATCTACTACAATGTATACGTTGCGTGCGCTCGCGTATGTTGTGTCGCGTGCGTGCGCGTGTGTGCGCGTGTGTGTGTGTGTGTTTGTGTGTGTGTGTCTACTATGACAGACTCGTGTGTGTACTCACATGTATGGCGGGCAGCACGAGCACCTCGCCGGGGCCGGTGCGCGGTGCGGTCTGCACACGGGTGAATCCACGCATGCAGCGCGACGAGTCCACGTACGACCAGCCGCCGCCGCCATGTTGACCCTCGGCCTCGTTCGTGTTCCCGCCTACCACGTCAACATTTATTTTAACTTTCTGATAGAGAGGCATTAGTATTAACCAGATGGAAAATTTTAATTATTTCTGACAATAAACCTGATTTCCATAGAAAAGTGACATTTTGTTGCATACGTAAATTAATTACTGTGGAATGAATAAATAAATGAATTATTGGTTTTCTATCACACAATCAATTTACGTTGCAGATTTCATCCCTCCCACGTCAAATATCAATTAAATTTGATTGAAGTATTGAAAAAGCCTGATGTATCCAAAATTCTATTCTGAAAAGAGCCCAACAGTCCTGACATATAATACACTAGATACAGTTATCAATTGTACCATTTTAATCTACCTTAAACACATAATATCGTTTTTGGGTACGTAGAACTTCATGATTCTTTTTGTAATATCCTTAATGACGCAAATTTTTACTTTTTACTTTTTACTTTCTTCGGAAAAATTGTACAATTTTCATAGTACGAGTAACGTACCAGTTGTCAAAAGAATTCCTAGAGGTGCGAGGATGCATCTTGCCAAATCATTGCCATGCACCATTAATTTATATATTACACTAGATCAGTAATAACCGCGCCAAAGCGTTGCCACTGCACATATGGCCACAGCCATATGCCTAAGACATCAGTTCAGTGTTCAATGTGACGCCGACAGAGTTGAGCCGCGACAAAAAATAGGTAAATGCGTAGTGAAAGAATGCTATTCAAGGTCACAAAAACGTATAAATCAAGCGGAATCACTTTCAACACATAATTTTTAGTTTTTGTTTTCATATAAACGTAAAAACCTCAAATAAATTGCCATTTAGGTTCAATGTTGCCACTTTTCCGCATTTTTGATTATCCTACATTAATGGGAGACTATAATTAATGGAGTAAGTTAATTTGTTACCTCTCATTTTAAATATTTTGGAAATTGTAATAAAAACTACGTTTTAACTTTCATACAAAATAATTAATTATTCTTATTTTAGTTTATTCATGAATTATCTATTAAATATATTTTATTACCTATTTTACATTAATAATTTTATATTAATTATAATTTCATATAAATTTTATATTTATTATATTTTATTAGATACCTATTTTATATTTTTTGATTTATTAGTACAATAAAATATATATAAAATATGTTTTATTTCATCATTATGTTTACTTTTATTCATCTTTCAGCTTTGTAGGATACAATTTATGAACATTTTTTCTAAGGGGACGCAATAAAGATTTTAAAATAAAATATACTTTTTAAATATAAAAACACTTAACTACAGCTTAAAAAAACTCATTTTTATTGCGTATTTTAGGTAAAATTTCACCACACCAACCCGCCATTGCATGTTTGTGTCTATCTTTACCTAATCTTAGCGACGCTATTATTTTCGCAACTTGTGTAAGTGAGATAGATATATGTTTATTTAAAATCCTATTATACAATTAGCAATTCTATATATATATATATATATATATATATATATATATATATATATATATATATATATATATATATATATAAATATAAAAACGTTTTTTCCGTTCGGAATAACAAGGATACCAACCATTAAGTACAGATATTCTATTGCTATATCTAGCCAAGAAGAAAACATATTGGGGCCGCTACAGGATGCATCCTCTTATTAACCCAAGACTACAAGATAGTCAGTATTATGTGAAAAGAGCCAAATTACGGGCCTATCAAGATTTTTTTTAAATACTATCGGGTCAATAAACTCTTTCGACAAATTATTTAATTTCTTACATCATTTCTTAATGATGACCTAGAGGGAACAGTAACAGGGAAAAATCTTGTTGAGCGTAAAGTTTATGGTGCTTAAGGGGATAGAGTAAGTCAGCTCAAATTCTAATTTCGTCCCCACTTGCCCGCGCATCGTCTATGCTATGTACCGACATGTTTGTAATCACTAATACTGTAAGTAGAAAGGTCGTTAGACACTTATTTCATTAGGTTTATCATATTTATGCCTGTTTCTTAAAGCCAAGCCAGTCGCTTCTTATTTTTATTACGGTTATTTCCCATTTTAATTTTAACGTCGTCCTGTTGCGTAATGTATATTCTGATCGTAAGCGACACAACCTCCCCGTTCAAAGGCCGAAGCGAAGTGACCGTGAGGCAGGAATCACGCTTCAAAAGGCCGATAGTTTAGGTAATTTCTTTTTACAGTTACAATAATGGTATTTTAAAAAAAGTAAATAACATAAGCACTGCTTTATAGTTAGTTCAGTTAGTATGCAAAGTTTCATGATCTTATTTAAAGTATTTTATGATTAACAGCGGTTTATTGTTTATTTTGGAAGTAACTTTGGATTTTTTTCATTGAGTTATACAACACTAGAGGAGCAAACCACATTACCGCGCGTCGAAAAATGTGTAACCACTATCCAAACGCGACGACGTAGCTTTGAAACTAATAACAATTTTAAATAAACATATATCTATCTCACTTACACAAGTTACGTAAACAATATCGTCGCTAAAATTAGATAAAGATAGACACACATAGAAGCAATGGCTGGTTGGTGTGGCTTACTATATAAAATTTTTCCTAAAATACGCAATAAAATTGAGTTTTCTTTTTAATCTTCAGTTAATTGTTTTTATATTAAGAAAGTATATTTTATTTTAAAATCTTTATTGCGTCCCCTTAGAAAAAAAGAATACAAAGCTTATCAGATGAGTTAGAAGTACATAATGATGAAATAAAACATATTTTTATAAATATTTTTTACTGTACTAATAAATCAAGTAATATAAAATAGGTAGTGAAATATAATTAATATAAAATTTATATGAAATTTTAATTAATATAAAATTATTAATATAAGATATAAGGTAGTAAAATATATTTAATAGATAATTCATGAATAAAATAAAATAAGAATAATTATTTTGTATAAAGGTTGAAACATAGTTTTTATTTTTAAGCAATCAATTTTACTTGTTTATTTTAAAACAAAATTAACTTATTCCATAAATTATACAGTCTCCCATTAATGTGGAAAAATCACAAAGGCGGAAAAGTGGCAACATTGAACCTAAATTGCAATATTCGATATTTTATTTAATTTTTTAGTGTTTTAAACGTTAATATGAATATATAAATTAAAACTTACGTATGGAAAGTGATTCCGCTTGATTTATTATGTTTTTGTGACCTTGAAACGCATTCTTTCACTACGCATTTACCCATTTTTTGTTGTGAATCGTTCGGCTTAACTCGGACGGCGTCACCTTGAACACTGAACCGACGTTCGCTGAGTATAAGGCTGTGGCCTTATGTGAAGTGACAACGCTTTGGCGCGGAAATTACTTATCTAGTGTAACATATAAATCAATGATTTTTTTCTATCGAGAAAATTTTACGAAATCGTGTTTTCGTCTAACATAATCCTTCACATTAATCCTCAACTTTACCATATATTTATTTCAAAATTAATGCTGCAATATTTTCGGCATAACGAAGGATCTTGCTAAGGCATTTGAGATTATATTTCCCCTTAAGTCTTATAATGGAAATGACGAATCCATGACTTTTTCTGCCTCCAGGGTGGCGTCATTTAAAAATAAAGTGTTGTAATATTTGACAGATTTGATAGCAGGGAAGTTAACTAGTTCGAAAAAAGGTAAAGGGTAATGTTTGTTTTTGTACTATTAGTTATATTTTATATTAATTAGATTAAAAATAAATAAACCAAACAACTGAGGCATTGTTTTGTATATTAATATAATACTTTAGACACTGAGAAATTTTTATTTGAAACAATCTTCTCAAATAAAAGACATTGTGTGACTAACTGATAAAAAAAGAAAATTGACAAAAAACTTCTGCAGTTCCTCTGAACTGAGCTGCTTCTATCCTGCACAATTAATATTTTTCACCCATTTGAGTCCTATATCAGTCTTTGGAAAACTATGTATGTAATATGAAATTAATACGCTTGCTTTGCCTATGCGGGAAACAACCAGTATTCTTCATGATAAAAATATAATCCTCCATGCACTAGATCACCCATTCGCTTCGGTTGTGCGACACACACCGAGTGCGTTCCGTACGGAATTCAAGAATGTGGGTTGCGAGTTATACAAAATCTACGTAAGACTGGCGTTCGGAGCGGCATCTTTCCGCGCGGGATTAAAAAATCTCTAATCGTAGAAAATTCCGTATGGAAAATTACCGTACGTGTATCCTTGAATTTATATGGACTGGCTGCGTTCGGAATCCCAAATTGGAATTCTGTATGTTTGTGGCTGGTCTCACTGAATAATTTTTATTTCCAACACGACGGACTTTAAGGACACTTGTGGTAGAAAATTATCAAATTCAGTAAATCATTTGCTGTTAAATATGTTTGTTTTATATTTCATTACATTTGAAGGTTTCACATTTACCGCGTGTGAACTACACACGTACTTTTTTAATGTTGACGGTTCTAAGCCCGTTTAAGTATGAATGGAAAATTGGAATCATAATTCACGTCGTGTAGTTATCTGCTGAGCTTTTCATTAAGGAAGTAAATAGTAAGCAAAAGTTTCGTGCATTACTCGTACTCACACGAGCGCGCGTGCCCTCTAGTTGTCCATTCAATTAAAATATTGTCAAATAAATGTTTTAAAAACTGCATATCAGTGTGAAAAAAAGTGTATATCAGTATTTACATTTTGAACATAATTATTAAATTTAGCTAGTCTTTGCATAATAATCCTGTATAGTAGACATTTTTCTGTCTATGGGATGAAGCAAGTGCTCAAATAGTGCTAAAATTTTTGACATCTTACAATATCGACTTTAAATCTATTGAATTAAAGCTACACTCAAAATTTGAAAAGAGACTTCGCAATATGACGCCATTGTTGATGATGTAGGCCGCTGGTGTCGTCTGGGAGAAAAATATACTAAAAAAAATTTGGTGAGCGCGTGTACATCCGCGGGGAGGGAGACATAGGTGTCACCTCGTATGATGTTCTAGTGCAACTAACTCGAAACGCGGGATCATGTACTCAGCGGTGCAACACCG